CTTATATTTAAACAAAGATCTCTTACGCGAAGTATTTGAACGAAATGGGAATAGAGAAACCCCGAGATACGCTTTGTAAACAATCATTATTAGGATATGTTGACTATCCTACCAAGTTCTATTGCTATTGAGGGAGCAATGCATCAATTTTAGGACTGCAATCCCCTTTTGTGATACAGCAATATGGATGGTAAGATGATATTATGTTAAATAAGCTGCAGATTAGATGTAAAATGCGAAACAATTGAGTTTGTGTGTGAATGTGAACATTTTCGAACAACTGGCGGCATCGCCAAATCAGCTCATTTTATCCAACTTTCAAATTTGATTAAATCGCACTGAATCATTTCCCTAAAAAATCCTTAGGAGATCGAAAAGAACCACACTTAGCCTTCCAAAAGCCAGATTTTCAGTCGATTATTTTGTATAGCACATAGTTAAATAACGGGTACGTTACTTTTGACCTATTTTTAATCTTGCTAGAAGAAGGTCGGTTAAATTCAATTAGATTGTGTAAATAAACGATCAAGAATTGCTCAAATTGCTGTGAACATATGTATTGATGTTGTTTTTCAAGATTTGGTAGTTTTTATCGGTCCAAGTGTTTTCAACTCGTGGCGCGACGCTTCGAGATTTGTCTGAAATGTTTGAGCTTCAAAAGTGGCATTTGGTCGAATTCAGTAATTATCGATTTTCTCGAAAATAAATCGATATTCGGCCAAACGAAGTATGCAGTGCTTTGTTTCACCATAAGGCCTACCTAACTTGAGAATATGAGCCGAATCGATTTTTTGGCTGTTGCCACCAAATGTTTGACCGTTGGTAACATTCGCTCTTACATGGTATAGCGTAATTTTTACGAAAATTGAAAGCCGTCATATCCTTGATACATTAAGACTACTTTTTAGGGCAAAAATATAAAAATGAACTATCACTAAGGACCACCCAGCCGATATCAACGGAGCTGAACTTACTAAAAATGCATTTTGACCATCGAAATAAAACGGTTAATTTCAGTAAGGATGAAACTATGGTGTTCAAAAGATATTTCGTGCCCCTTTTGAGAGACATCTGAGGCGAAGGTTTGAAGCTTAATTTCTCTACTACTGTTGTAATCTTGGGGAAAAACCGCACCGCGTTTAAATTTTTAAATACTCTGCCATGTTTAGTCAAGTGTTGCAATGGTTTCAAGAGTGAGCCTGCAAAAGTTCTATCAATTTGAATGGGGTTTTCAGCTCTTCCTTTTACAGATCGGTTGCCGCACGTGCCAAACGTAGCTGACCAAATTCTGATTGGCTTTTGACCGTGTAATATCAATTGCTAAAAGTGTGGCTTCCACAATAATTGTTTTGGTTTTTCTTTCAAATTTTCTGCATTACAATGCACCACAATTAGGTGTTGCTTGACTGAATCTGCGTAGGTATGCTGTCAAGTCAAGCCTTGGTATCTTTCTTTGAACTCTCATTCCGATTTGTTCTCCGCTGATCTACGAGTAATGAAATAATTTGGATATATCAACAAAGTTTAAATGGTAAATTGGCCACCGTAACGATTACAAAAGCTGACGTTTCAAGCGTTAGCCCTTCGTCGGAGCGAATAGAGGAATTGTGGGTTGTGTGTGCCTTTAAAGGCAGAAAATGGAGCTACGTTATTGGTGGGAACAAGGCAACGAGAAAAACAGGAATAAATTAGTGGAATGAAAAGCGTTCGTTGATCCCTGTGGGATTTAGACTGCCGGTTTGAAAGATGAGCTTTTGTTCAAGATTTTTACGGCTTTCCGTGCTACCTAAGTGTAAGGGAAGACCGCAGATTGCCATGTGTTGCTTAGAATGATTAGGTAAATTAAAATGTCAAGCGACTGGTTTCGATGTGTCCTTGTCATTCCTTTCCACGTCTCGAAGGTGTTCTCGAAATCGGTCACCTAGTCTTCTGCCTGTTTCGCCGATGTATATCTTTTTGCAATAAGTGCAAGTTATACAATAGATTACATTGGCGGAGGTGCACGTGAAGTGATCGGTGATCTTAATGGATCGTTTAGGTCCCGATATTTTTTATCAGTGTTGTGAATAAAAGGACACGTTTTGCATCGTGCACGAGCGCATTTAAAAGTGCCTGGTTGGTCATTAGTCTGAAAAGAACTTCTGACCAAAAAATTGCCTATGTTTTTGTCGCGTTTGAATGAAATGAGCGGAGGCTGCGAAAAGATAGTGTTTGTCTCTGGATCTACGAGTAATGAGCCTAACGTGCTGAAAAACTACGAATTTATGACCATTGAACTTGATGTACTATTAATGTTCAGTTCAACGTTCTCATAATGCGTTTTATTCAAAACAAACAGCTGCAATTGCAAGTCTCATCAAGAACCCGAAAATCTAACCTTCGTTTCACAAACAGCTCTAGAACGCTCTACATTTCCCCTTGATGTAGCTGAGCCGGACTTCTCTGAAAATTCGTTGGTTTTACGTCTTCCCGACTACGGTTTGAACTTTCAGAATGTTGTCCGAGTTAAAATTACAAAGCTTTTTTTCTTTTAATGAAGAGGTCCAGGACTATGTGTTCTTTCTCTTTCCTGCTGTAGCAGAGCAAGTGCAGTCTAAACGTATTTTACTTCTTTATCTAGCTTCAGGGCCAAACTTCTTCACATAAATCGCCAATGCAAGATTAAATCACTCATTTGCTTCCTGAAACTGACTCTTAAAAATGTGCACAGCGACCAGGTATCTGCCATCTGTAAGTATCTGTAAGTATCTGCCACCTTGACATGTTTCGGACCTAACATTTTAGGACGAATATGCATCGCCCTCTCTGTGACAGTCTTCTGCCTTCTTAAGGTCATCCAGCTGCTGATGGATAAGACCAAGGTCATTGTAAGACAGTGCCATATCAACATACTCAGGTCCTCTCACGTTTCTGCAATGGCCCCTGGACGAAACTTCTTCTCTCGCCGAAATTTTCATATTCATGGATAAACTTGCACTCAAAGGACTGAAGTAATATAGAAATCGGTGACAATCGAAATGGATTCTGTAACTGAGATTATGATAAACAACCAAAGGCTGGAAAAACAAACTTGTGAGCCCACGATCTTTCAAGATCGCATTATATACATGACCGGCACATATGGGAAGCAAATGTATTATAACAATAAAATTTTGGCGAATTTTTGACTTAATAATGTTAGAAGGAAGCCACACTTTGTCGAAAAATGCAAAAGTTTAGTACACGTGGGTCATATAATCGGCAGCCAGTCAGGGTTCTCACACGACTGAGTAACCGGCAATCGGATATTTTTCTGAAGATTTAGCAAATTGGAAGACCCTACACAATCCAAACTATTATTGTCAATGAAAAAGTTCTCGGCGATTCCAAAGTGATTTATAAATCTCACTTCCAACGTTCGGTCATGTCTAACGCAGGACTCAGGGTACGGAGCCACGGATATCGGCAGAATGATCATGCATGACACAAAAATTTCGTGAGTTCAAAATAACTAAATCACCGAAACTCAAAAACCTTTCGAAAAAATCAAGAAATCAAGACAACCTTTACGATCCAATCTATTATAAGTCGATGAGGAACTGCTAAGCGATCACGGTGAGGGGATTGATAAATCTCATATCTAGCGCTTGAATCAGTTATGCTGACTCAGAATAATTAGAAATGTTGCGCCGCCGGTCACAACCACTGTCCTGAGTTCTCTTTGGTTCTCATGGTATTTTCTTGTTTTAGAGCAGTTTCCAAATGAGTATCCAGATGAGTATATTTCCAAATGAGTAACTCATTTGGAAATGAGTTTCCAAATAAGTATCGAAAGTGATCCAGCATTGTTCTGGTTTGCTTTACTTCGTTCTCTGATTGGTCCAGAAAACTCGCGTCACCATCTCAACCAATCAAATCCATAAAACTAAAACCAATCCAATCTCGTCTTCCCGCGCTTCAAACAGGTTTCGCGTTTTTAATTTGAGTTCTCATTGGCTAATGATGATGTTAACCTTTGTTCTTACTGGCACCTGCGTTTACACGGTTGAGGTTTTCCGACACCATAACCCTTTAGCCTCTAAGAGTGACCGTCTTTTAATTTCTCCTCACATTGTCTCTCTTGAATCAAATGTGCAGGTCATGAGAATAAAGGAAATGATCACTAACTAGAAAGGCTCTTGATTATCGTACAAATTCTCCCTGTCAGCACCCTAGGAACTGTAAAGAGATCAGTATGGAGAATGTGCATACTGATATGTGAGGGCGTAAAGGGATAATTAAAACTTCTGTTTGATTGGTAGTTGCGATCACTGCGCATTTGCCTTCGGTTCTAGGGCGGCCAGTTAGTCTAATTGAGCTCTTAGAGAAAACAGTGTTTTATATCTGTGTGTACATATCATATAAAGTTACTAAGGCAAAGTCAGGACTGCAAGTAGATTAACTGATAAACAACTTCTACCGACCTCGAAGGTAAAATCCACATTTACGCGCGGCCGGGTACTGATTTCTCGGAGATCTCAGAAAGATTTTGAGTAACCGTACTGTGATACAAAGGGGATGGCGTAAAAAAGTTTTATTTCCATCCGATGAGAATTGAGCGAAAAGCATTCGGAATAGCCCGCACCTTTTTTTCAGAGTGGGTGATATATACTGGTTACCGGCGTATTGTAACAAACCTGCCTTCCATGTGGAAAGGTCTTATCTAAGATTTTTTACGTCGAACAACGGCAGGGAGCGAAATGTCTTAATTGAAACATACCCTGTCCGAGCAGACTAGATTCCGAAACATGCAAACTACGTCTGTCGATCGGCGCGGATCGCGTGTTTCAAGTCGGCAAGCAATGTGAACGCGAGAGAGGTCCGCAAGAAAACATTACATCTTTTTCGCTTCCATTCCTAATTCCCCATTTTCTATTGCTCATTCCTGATTTTACCGTCGCGAAGTTTTACCCGAGCTTGCCCTATCTTGCCCTAATTAATTCAGAATTTTGTGTCGCAGTTGTCTGTTTATCAAAATGACCGCTTGGTGAGTTGTCCAATAACGCACGAGAATCTTGAACTGGTTTTAGAGGCTTTTGCATAATGAAATCAGACGAGAGAAAAGAAGGTCGAGAGGAAATCCCATGATCCTTCTCTACAACCGGAAAGCATTTTACCAAAACCGACTGTCAGTCATCTCGGACGCAGCAAGAACACTCAGATGTTGTTTTGGACAGTGCCATATATGTCCTTTAATGATCAGTTGTGTTCACGCTGAAATTCATTTTAACGAAAGAAGTTTCAGAATTGATTGTGAAGAAAATTGAACGGGCTGCTGGTGAGCAAAACAAAGCGTAGCCCGCACTACTGTCGTCTTTTAGAGCGAGGTAAGATTATAAGCTCGTGACCGTTTATACGACGCCATGTTTGATTTGGAGTCAGAGTAGGGGGCGGGGGATAGGTCAAGATGCTCACTCCCCAGCCCCGGCCCCTCTCCTTTTTCTTTTCACCGTCACTCACCCCCTTGGTACAAGTTCCTTTCTCTCCCCAGCCTTCCGCTGCCAATAAAATCAAAGATGGCGGCCATTTCTCTCTTAGAAAATACTGAGTACTCGCTCGCCCAGATCACCCCCACTCTGCAGGCTTAACAAAGTGTAGCTCTGCTGTCCTACGCGACGGTGATGTAGGTGTCTTTGGAGGCACAAGCGTTGAAACTAAAGAAGGAGAGAGTTTGTCAGCTTACGATTCGGAGCTTGTTTATGCTTTTAGAGCTCTGCCACTAAAAATTATGATTCTGAAGAAGTGGGCTCCTTTGGATAAGGAACAAGTGATGGGAGTGCGCGAAGGCGAAGCAAACGGAAAAAGCTTGTTTCAGCAAGTGAAGTACTGAGGTATGGGTACATGACAGAGAGGTAGGGGTACCGTTAAAAGGTGTTAGTAGGGCTACTGGACCTAGCGGAATGAGTGCGGCCTTCTAGGCATGCAGAGAGGTAAAAACTTTGTGGGTGGGCTGTGTGGTTTTAGATCCTAGAAGTATGTTAGAATGATTAATTCTTTGAAGAAGCCTTATGAAACTGAGGGGAAAAAGAATTCATATACTGTAGTAGAAGGGTACCTTTTTACAAGTTGCCCACAAAGAGGCAATTGTGTTGTGTTCAAAGACATGACTCAGTGTGCTCTCACAGTTCCTCTCCCCACTCAAGAATGTAATTGGGTAACAGACAAAGCTGTCAGGGGAACTTGATGAAATACTGAGGGGGGAGGGGAAGGGGACTGAACTGCAGTGGACTGGCATCTCCTCCTGGGAAAGTGGCAATACTGTGCATTCTCCTTTATGTTAAGCGTGACAGGCAAAATAAATTTCTAAATCAGTTGAGCATTCCCTTATCTGTAGAATTCTGCATTAAATTGTACACAAAAACTGTAGCCTTACAGTCAAAACTCGATTATCCAGACTCGTTGGGGCCTCGGTAAATTGTCTGGATGATCGAGAGTCTGGATAATCGAAAATATGAATATTTATGACATAGAAAAGTAAACAAAAGTACACAGGGTGAAGAAAACATCATTTTAATAGTGAAATCTACACAGCCTGTATGTATTTACAAATAAAAACATTCAGTTCAGGCATTTACAAAGGTCTAAAATGTTCAAGCATGTTTGTTTGCTTCAAAGACTAGTAGCTTGATCACATTGCAAAGTCCATTGTTCGTCTTAGCTGCATTAACTGCACAGGGTCAATATCGCTCTGTTATTCCATCCACAACAAATATGTTTTGAAACATTGCACTGCCTCTTAGTCGATACTAGTTTCTCGTCCTTGCCCTTATCTTCCTAATCGCTACATACACTTCCGCTTTCTGTCTAATCTCTGACAATGGTGGCTAAAGTCTCTTCATCAGACATTTGCAGTGAATTCAGGAGCTCGTTTTCCAGATTAAGCCACTCTTCCACATGGCAAGCATTAGGCATTTCCTCATTGTCAAGTTGCTGTACATGTTCCAACATTTCTTAGTGATATTATCCTCTCTGAATTCGGGCTGTGAATTTGACTCATTGTTGTCCGAATTTTGAAAAGCGCATAGGACGGTTCGCTGTTTCAACAGTCTTTTGTAAGGATCATTGGACTGTTTGCTACTTTGAGTTTTCACAATCACAATTAGTTAATATTCATAAAAACATTGGGACCAGAGAAAAAAGTCCGGATAATGGAGGTCCGGATAATCAAGGTTCGACTGTATCAGTTTTCAGGTGCAACTAAAGGCAGAATTTGTGAATCATGAAATAGAATTTCCTTGAATCACATAATTGGATAAAAATTAGAAAAAAAGTAAAACAGCATTACTTATAGTTGTTATCAAACAACAACAAACATATGAAACATATGTGTGAACTGCGGTTATGAGACGTATATGAGAACGATCCTTCGCAGTAAAGCACTATTTGAGCAATAGTGGAAATCAGACCTGAAAAAAATTTCAGGCCTGTACGGGATTCGAACCACTGACCTCTGCGATACTAGTGCAGCGCTCTACCAATTGAGCTAACAAGCCAACTGACCCGTACAGGCCTGAAATTTTTTTTTTTCAGGTCTGATTTCCACTATTGCTCAAATAGTGCTTTACTGCGAAGGATCGTTCTCATATACGTCTCATAACCGCAGTTCACACATATGTTTCATATGTTTGTTGTTGTTTGATTTATCATCTACGGGTTTATATCGAATTAATTTGATGGCCTGCTCCCAGTTGGCTTGTTAGCTCAATTGGTAGAGCGCTGCACTAGTATCGCAGAGGTCAGTGGTTCGAATCCCGTACAGGCCTGAAATTTTTTTCAGGTCTGATTTCCACTATTGCTCAAATAGTGCTTTACTGCGAAGGATCGTTCTCATATACATATAGTTGTTATGTAAACACAGATGCAAAACATGTAAAGTATTGAATTGTGTTTTGATAATTTTCAGTTCCCCTTGTGAAAAGAAGCCAAAGGCAGCATGGAAGGCAAGCAGGTCAATTCTTGACTTCTTATATTAAATAAAAGGCATCATTTTTAAAAACAAAATAGTGATATACATAGAGAAACCATAATTTTTTATTTGTAGCAGTTATTTAATAATTTACAATTTAATCAAGAGGAGGAAGTTCAGTTTTATGCTCCAGAAAAGTATTTGATATTATATCGATCATTAGAAAGACATGAATGAAATTATGATGCTACCTTTTGCCATATTGAAATGGGAAGACTAACATAGCCTTCTGAAAATTTACTCCCAATTTTCTTTGAATGCTATCATAGATGCTGCTGCCTTAAATATTATTCATGACAGTTAAGGGTTGTTTAGTTAAGTCTCGATACTATTTTTGTCATGTTTTGGCATTCAATTTTAACAGTGAGGGAAACAGCTGTTTTTTTTTCTTAGAAGCACATTTCAAACCTTTATGGTAGAGATATATGGTTTGAGGAGCATTCTTCTCCTTTCAAAGAGATAAATTGTACATTTATTAATTAAAATTGTTTATCCTTTAAGGTATCTTAGCATCTATTTGTACTGCACAGTGTTTTTGGCCACTATCTTAAACATTGATATATTTTTCAGGTTTTGCCGAAGGTGATCAAAAGGTTGATCCACAGGAAGAAGATAAAATGAATTGAAGTACATGTAGTGACAATCAAACATTGGAAACTTTATTTAAGTAACTTTACCGGTAGCCATAATTTACATTATTATTGTTACTGTTAATCCGGGATTCCGATACCTGTTCAGTGCCTGTGCATGAGGTTGTTGTAGATTAAAGCCTTTAGAAACGAGGCCAAATGCAGTCTGTCTTTCATACGGTACATTTAACACCAAGAGGTGATTTAAACACAACTTCATGATGTATGATGCAAAGTTCTCTCCTCAGCAGGCATTCTGTAAATGGAAGGAATATGTGGAAAAAAGCCCTTAGTGTCATTTCTGGTAAAAGAAGGTAGATCAAGTCTGCACTAGAGCCCAGTGTCCCACCCAGTAGGAGATTATCTTCAGGCTGGTTTTCTTAGCATGAAGCAACTAGGAGTATCACTATTTCCCCCTTGGATAAGATGCTAGTCCATTGCAAGGTTATCCCCCAGCATTTCATCAGGCTTCTCCAACAATTCTTCAGTACTCAGTCTTTCTTCCCTTAGTTTTGATACTATCGGAAAGCTATAATCTCCATTAAAATTGATACCAAGGTATATCTCAAATGGAACCCAGGAAAAAATGGTTATGACATGAGTAGTTGTTTAGCTAGGGAATGTCATGTTAAATTCTCTCCTCAGTTCTGATATAGAATGCTATATTCTCCATCAAAATTGCCAAGTATTCCTTTAACAGAACACAGGGAGAATTGCTCATGGTATTACCAGAGCTCATGTCAAATTTTCCTTTTAACTGGTAGATGACAGCAGATCAAAGAATTGCCTGAAAGATTTAAATGAGGAGTTACTTTGCTGCATCTGTCGTGTACTGAGGGTATTGGCACACACTTTGCCTGATAACTCCCACACTTTCTGTTTTGGTTGTATCAGGGACTGGCTTTGGTAAGACACGTTACAGAACAGTTTTAGTTTCACTTCAAAATTCATAAAACCCTTTATCCCCAAGAGTGACTAACATCTATTTTCTCCATACAACATCATTCCTTTATTACACAACTACAATTTGTCGAGAACGAATAACGCCAATAGACGAGTACAAGTATCACACGGTATTTGTACTCTAGAGTACCGGTTAAACAGGTTTTCTCGCATCGCGCAAGCGAAGAATTGAATTGTGGTTACGAAAAAAAAAATGGCGGGGAATTTTAATTATATTTCCGACAATGAAGAGTCAGAATAGCTGGCGCATATTCATCCAAGTTTATTAGATGAGGTGGACGAACAAAAACAGCTAGATGACCTAGAAAATTCTTCATTTATTGAAGAAAATATAAACAGCAACACGACAATGCGCCAATTCCGTTCTGCTTCGCATACTTTTGTCTTACACTCCCCGTAAATAAATATTTGCGAAGTTCACCCTTACTGAAATAACAGTTTGGTGTGTTGGATAATAAACATCTAATAAGATATAATTATGTATCACACATAAAGATCAAAAGAGTTAAGAAAATGGTCACCAATGAAAGATGAGCTCTTCATTGTTAAACAAACTCTCCTTGTCAGCACCATAGGGAATGTATAGAGAACAGTATGGAGAATATGCATATTGATGTTAGGGTTTATGTAAATCTATTTGGTCATGTCAAACTATTTTACAGTACATAATTCTATTACACTGGTAAGAATATAATTGTTTTTTTATTCAGAAATATAAAAATAACCATAGGTTAAACAGTCATTCATAAGAAATTAATTGTTCACTTGTTTTCTGTGAGGAAAAGAACCAAGGCACAGTTTTTGTGTTCTCTTCAGTTGCAAAGGCATGATGTGTGAACTGCCCATTTCAGTGCTCAAATTGAGTTTGCCAACCATTCACATAGTAGGATTTTGTTTAGGGACCAAAAAGTGTCAAGGTATTTACCTGTTTCTTCTTAGGTATTCAATAGACTGTTCAAACTGTGGAGCAAAGGCTTAACGTCTATATGTGATCTTATAATCAACTTTAGTTGCAAAACAATAGTTCTCTTTTTCCCAGGTGATGGTGTGGAAGACAAACTTTGATAAAGTTTTACGGCTTTTGTAAAGGAGAAATTTCAAGAACAAATTAGAGGATAAAGTAAGAGTGACTAGCAACTAATTTCTCCTTACAAAGTCGTAAAACTCTTGAACAAAAGCTCATCTTTCAAACCGGCAGTCTAAATTCCACAGGTATCAACGAACGCTATTCATTCCACTAATTTATTCATGTTTTTCTTGTTACCATGTTCCCACCAATAACGTAGCTCCATTTTCTGCCTTTAAAAGCACACACAACCCACAATTCCTCTATTCGCTCCGAAGAAGATCTAACGCTCGAAATGTCAGCTTTTGTAATTGTTACGGTGGCCAATTTACCATTTCAACTTTGCTGATATATCCAAACTTTGATATTGATGAATTGAACTCATTTACACATAGAAAGAGCCCTTTCACAAATACAGCCATGTGTGAGGGTTCCTCAAGGAAGAAATTAGAAATCCTTGGGAAACTTTTGATGAAAAGTTATCGATAGGGCTGGACTAGTAGGGGTCCCCAGTATGCACGCAAATAATTGGAATTTCCAAGGAAGTCATAAGACTACATCCAAAGTTTTATGTTTATTAGTCCTCTGAAACTGATTACAATTTTTTTTTGTTTTTCTTGAAATTTTTTGTTTGTTTACATGTTTTAACTGACTAGGCTTCCTGTATGTGACCAGTTGGTGTGTTAACTCCCATGAGTAACCAGGACAGATTTTTTCTCCTTACAACATCAGTACAATATCAAACAGACAAGTGTTAAGATCGAGGAAAAAAGAAAATCAGACGACTATCAGTTGATTTAATACCAAATTCTCCAAACTTACATCATAAGAATTGTATGGGAAACAGTAAGGAGAATTACTAATTAAAGATATCTAGAGAGTGTAAGGGTTAAATTACTCTGAATGTTGTTTTCAGTGCTACGCTCTCACAGAAAAAGAGCACTGAGCATCTCCATCTGTAGCCACATCTAATACTCATGACCCCACTCCAAGGACTCCACCCAAAGCAGCTGCACCTGAGGTAAGTCTGGACAAGCTCTGAACTCAGGAGAGAGGAAATTTCAAGAACAAATTAGAGGATAAAGTAAGAGTGACTAGCACCTAATTTCTCCTTACATTATAATTATCACTCCTGAATCAAATATTAAGAGCACGAGAATAAGGGAAATGATCAACGACTTGAGAAGCCCTTGATTATTAAACTAATTCTCCTTGTCAGCACTCCAAGAAATGTTTAGGGAACAGTATGGAGAATATGCAAACTGTTTAAAGGGTTAACAGTTAGCCAGCTGAACACTGGGTCTAGAGCTCTGAGATCAAGACCTGGTCAAGTCATTGTGTTGTGGTTTGTAAAAGAAACTTTACTCTCAGTAACCTTCTCCCCAGTGGAGTATACTTGGTAAACTCATTGACTGTCAATGAAACCTAACAAAATGCTGGGAGGAGGGGAAGGGAGGGGTAATCTGCTTCTCAAAACAAAAGCAATCTTGGATTACCTTTGAAACTCAATTGATAGTTTTTTGAAAATGCTGAATATGTTAAAAAGGTTCTTAATTGATTTGTTTGATTTTAAAGGTCAGAGCTGGTACAGAGCCCAGTAATCTTGCTGTTGGTGACCCAGAAGTGGTGGAGGTTGGTCCTGTCATGTTTTCAATTCCTCAGGTACCCTTTAAAAACTATTCTTTTGGGACCTGTCATTATTTAGTGGGGGGACGGTGTTGAAGGATTTGGGTTGTGTCACAATAAAATTTAACTGATCCCTCCATAAGAGTCTGTGATATTCTGATGATTTCTCCTCCCCCCCCCCTCCTTCTCATTGGCGGTCAATTTTCCATAGCCGAGGGTGTTCATTAGGTATCGGAGATCGGAGAATTCTCCGGCAACTACACAGAATTCTCCCGCTAAATTGGATGGCCGGTTGGGCTGGATTATTTAATATTTTTCTCAGATGTGGAGCCGTTATGAACTAGGATTACATTTGGTGAAAATGCTTTCTTTCTTTAAGCAAAATGCACAGAATGTTTTAAACAATCAGTGTTCATTCAAAAAAATGTTTTTATTTTTGAGAGTTGTCACGGACGTAACACTCCGTCATAGTAATCATATTTTTATAAATTTTAATGTCCTGTTGACACGAATTTAACTTGAAGCTAAAGACTTTGAATGGCTAAACAAGTAGTGAATGAAACTATAAATGAACTTCATTCAAGTGCCAGGAGTATTAACCTAGAAAATAAAATTAGGTGCACAATGCGTACGTGTGGCTTATGAAATTGAGCCGCTCTCTAGTGTCTGATGTCTTATTAAGTTCCTATTAGAAGAGCTAATATCTGATTATGGTTAGATAATTTTCAATACTGTTCCTGTTCATCGATAAAATAAGATAACTGGCACACAATAGTCCTGAAATGTTCATTTTCAAGATGAGGGTTAATGGCCAAACTTTGTTATGGAGGCCTCATTTTGACAACAAAGGTTGCACATGTAACCTGAGAATTTTAGGAACTAAAAAGAGCGTCAGCATCATCTCCCATAGTGGACTAATAGATTCAGTCATGATTAAATTTTTGTTTAAGTAATGAAGTGGAATTGAGTTCTGAAGTTTGTAGGTTGATTGTCTTTTCCAAGGCAAGTGATGTAAAATTAACTCTAGGGAAGCATTTCATATGAATATTTTCCGAGTTTTGTGTACCAGTACATAAGGACAGAACTTGCCAGAAGGGCCGGGACATTCAGGAAATGATGAAATCTATGCTAGAAGCCATTGGGATCTTGATTCGGTTTGAATGTACGACTAATTTTGGACAATACATATATGTGAAGTAACACAATGCTGAGTGTAGGTTTCTCTTATCCATTAAGGCACAAAATTCTATTTTCAGTTGGTTGAGAGCAAAATGTTCACTCCAATTATTGTATTTGGGTTTTTTGGGACCGTATTTTCAATAAAGAACACAGAAAAATTTGGTTGAGGTAGGTGGATATGGCGTTGCAAATGGAAGAATTTAGGGAAAAAAGATAGGTGCACAACAAGATCAGAACACAAGCAATATTTTAATGAATCATATGTTCTAGGTGGTACTCTGAGGTAACATTACATTAAAACTAATAATTTTTTAAGCCAATAAGATTCACAATTTGACCTGGAGGTTTTATTTAACAGAAAGTTCAATAGAGATAAGTGTCACCATAATAGATTTCGGGAACAGTAATCAAAGACATAACTTAAACATAACACAGTTCAATGTACAGGCAAGCGCATGATGGTTTTATATGATTTAAAAAACCAGAATCTTTCAAGATTTCTTATTATTGATATTGTTATTTCATGCCAGTGTGTTTCCCAAATTCAAGCTATGTGGAGACATGACATGAAAAGGTGCACTTGACATCATCATGTAAATGGTCAGCTTGACATGCTATCAAAATTTGTTCTTCAGCTGAAATCTTACTCAAGAATGCAATTTTGTCAGTTTCGATGAATGTACCTAAAAATTTCAAAGCTTTTGTTTACTTTGGTCAGCTATTATGTGTATCAATCAGCAAAAACGTACTTTGTGTTAATCTGATTGGTTTCTAGCGTGATCTATTGTTGCTGAGCCTACCAGTGGATTACATTTGTACTTGAGTAATTACTTTAATTTGCACTATTGATACATGAAAAAGACACTTAGCTGTTTTCAGCCAATCGAGAGTGTAATTTTTCATGTATACCAGTATTGTGATGAATTAACCAAAACCAAACAAGTAACGGAAAAGAAGTTGTAGTCTACCAAAGAAAGGCCTAATACACATGTATTGTTACCAAGTTTAAATATCAATGCTCATCTGAACCATTATGAAGAGAATTTAGAAGACTGCCAAGTTTACAGCAAGTCAAGAAATGTTAAGGTCTGAATAATTCTGGACATTACTTGGAAAACGTAGTAATAATAAAGTACAATTTCAGTTGAACATTAAACTACTAGGCTTCTATAAGCAGTGGAATATAAGCATTGTAGAAAATCATTAGTGAAAACCAAAACATCACCTCATTCCACATTTTGTGTTATCTGCAAAAACTTGTTTCAATACTGGCAAGTAAAATACATTGAAATAGAGCATCATAAGCATTAAACTCCAACAATGATCCTTAAAATGTGATAAGATATCCTTTGTTTTTACGAAATTGTCATTAAAGCAAATCCTTATACGTATATGTGAACGATCCTTCGCAAAGCAAATCCTTGACCGGTATTGTACAATCGAGATTCCCATACTTACTGGTACTTTCGTCGTTTTGAAATATGCCTCCGTGAATTCTCGACAGTGCAGGGAATGCAACTACAGTACAACTTATTTCACTTTATGGCACTTCCAGGAGGTTTCAGACAGTTTCAAATACTTTCAAACTTTTTCAGAGACTTAGTGGTGCAATCCGCACCGATAGATTAAACCGATAGTTGTTGGCTTGCGAGAGTGCAATGACTTCTTTCAGTGTAGTACAACTTGTACCGAAGATTCAAGCTGTTAAGTGTTGTCTTTTAAGAGCGTAAAAGCTCTTGTACAAGCTGCAATTATAACACAAGCCGGATCAGGATGCGTTGGCTTGTTTGAGGAGAACTAACTCGTCAAACGATCACCTGAAAAAAACTACTCGAGACCATGCTTAACCGCCTCCCGGTTAGCTCAATTGGTTAGAGCGCCGGATTGGGATGTGCGGGAGGTCGAGGGTTCGGGCCCCGGTCGGACCGATACTCATGGTCTCAAAATAAGTGAGGAGAATTTGCTACCTTTCTATAATCAAGAAATTGATAGATATTCTAGTCTTCTCGGATAAGGACGAATAAACCGTAAGCCCCGTCTCCTGCGGGGTTAGGGGTAGGAGACGTTAATTTCCCACGCACGAGAATACTGTGTTGTGGATGTCCTCCCTTGGGGTGGGATGGGTGGGAATTGGCCCTAAAAAGCCCCCATGGGGAGTGGTCAACTAACGTATGTATGTATGCTTACAGCCAAGATGGCTATCTCATAGCACGCCGTACGACGCTAGACCACGTGACATGCGTTTGACTCTCGTGAACAAACAAATAAATAAATAGATCCGATCGTGCCATAATGTCGCTACACAATTTGTGTAAGCCACACAGAAATGAATTGGGACACGCAAATATATCGAAAAACTTGTCGACGACCTGCAGCTGCGTAAGTACTATTACGCACGAAAATTCTTGTTCTAAGAGTTAAAGAATGCGTTGGTTTAAAATTCCACATTTTTCCTGGGAGGTGGGGCGTGCCCCAGACCCCACCCTTGAGGGAAANCGATAAATGACGACTGTAGCGGCCGCCTTTACCGATTAGTGAAGGGACGCGAGAAAACTGTAGTGAGGCAACCACAAGTCTAACAAAATCAGGCTGGTCCGTTTATTTAAGGCTTGATTGGCGGTAACTTGATAAACACGAACTAAAGATTAAAAACAGTTCGATCGAAATTCAACCATACTGACCGTTAAAGACTGTTAGGTTCCAACACAAAACACGAGCGTGTTTCTCCTTAAATTCTAACTACATAAAGATTTTTTTCACGTTCCTAAAGCGGTTCAGGGTCCACGTGCGAATCCAAAATACCCGTATAAAGAGATCACGTGACGTAATAAAGCGAAAGCTGAGAAGGCCTTACAACGACCGCTCCCTTAGTTAGATTTTTTTTCAATGATTTTCCCTTTCCCAATCTTAATCTACCTGAAAGCGCTGCTCCTGTTACTTTCCGTTTAAGGAGGGTGAAAATATAGCGTCTTCCCTTAAAAATCCTGCAGCTCTTTCCTTTGCTCGCGCTCTGAACAATTTTGAAGATAAAATACAGGGTTGTGAATGGACTAGAATTTGAAGGCCCATTATTTCTTTGGGCACTTCACTTTTTCCCCGCAGCCCACGCAGTTTTTGCGTGACACAAACCACTCATGCGCAGTTTTTCGGCATCACAAACAATAAACAGGTGTTTTAGTGGGCAATTCGTGATGGAGTCGCTTCTTAAAAACCTCAAAGAACATGTAACATGTTCGATTTGTTTGGATACTTACACCAAACCCAAGACCATTGCTTGTCTTCATACATTCTGCTGTGAATGCCTGGAGAGACATGCACTAACGAGACAAAACCAAGGGCTTTATCCATGCCCCGAGTGTCAGGCACAAATTCGTATCCCTGAAGGAGATTGTTTTGATAATCTGCCGAGCAGTTTTCTGCACAACAGTTTATTGAGTCTTCTTGCCGTTCGACGCAGTGGCGAAGGAAATGAGATCAGCTGTAGTACATGCCAGAAGAATAGCGCTGAGATCAACTACTGCTTTGATTGCGAGAGGTTTATCTGCCCCGACTGTGTGAAAGCACACGACGTATTTCGAGATACAATGTTTGAAGGGCACAAAGTCACACCGGTGCGACAGTTTGAAGCGGCAGACTACGAGGCCTTGTTGAAACCGCAATCATTTTGCTCAGAGAAGTACCACAAAAAAGATGTAATTCGTTTTTTTTGCGTTGGCTGTCAAAGATGTGTTTGTCCAGTTTGCGTCGCCACTAATCACAATGGCCACGATGTTGTTCTGCTTGAAAATGCAGCGGATGATGAGAAAGCAAAGATCCTCGCTCGAACAGAGCAGGTGAGAGAGAAGAAAATGGTTTGCCGAGATGTTATCCGTGAATTTGAGAACACAGAGGTTGAGTTGGAAGCGAACATTACCACTGCTAAAGGCAAAGTTTCTCAAGCGGTCGAACAAATGATTAGAAAGCTTAATCAACTGGAGGTTGAAGCCATTACTGCCCTCGAGGAGGCTCGCGTGTCGAGGATTGAGAAATTGCTTTCTGGAAAAGCATCGGTTGTCTCTTTGGAAAAGCAACTTGAGCAAGCAGTCGAGTTCAGTAACAATCTGGTTGAGAGAAGCTCAAGCTCAGACATAATGCAAAACAAGAAGAGTGTGGAAGAACGAATCGAAGACCTTATTAAGACTACAGTGCCAGTACTTCCGGTTAACTCGTTCGTGGAGTTTGTGTCTACGTGTGAACCAGAGAGTTTGAGTCTGGGATCTACGAACTTCAGCGAAACAAAAGTGTGGGAATCGACCGTGGAAGGACTGGATCAGAATTTCCAAGCTGGTGTGGAAGCAGAGCTGTTGATTTGTCCCAAATCAAGCGAAGGAGAAATCAGAAACACTCAGCGCACAGATCGTGTTGAAGTACACATAGACCCCGCTGATCAGGTGAGAAGTTTGGTGACAATTGAGAAAGAAGACGGACATTTCCTGGTAAAAATCATGGCGAAAGTACCAGGTGTTTGTAAAATGGAAGTAAAAATCAATGGACTTAAACTTGCCAAGAGTCCGTTTTCTCTACCGGTTAAAGCACGAGAGTTAAATGTTATAGGCAAGTTGGACTTTCAGGGGGAACTTTCCCAGGGTCCAACTGGCATTGCAGTGAACAGTAAAGGTGTTATAGCTGTGGCTGATAATAAAGGTCACTGTATCCTGGTATTCGATGAGACAGAAAAATTTGTGCGAAAACTTGGTTCCTATGGAGACAAGGATGGGCAGTTTAACAGACCAGCCGACGTCACATTCCTAAACGATGACGAGATTCTGGTGGCAGATGAATTCAATCACCGAGTACAGCGGTTGAATGTACAGACAGGGAACTTTGTGAAAAGCTTTGGACAGAGAGGAATTGGATACGGAGAGTTACACAATCCCACTAGTGTGTCTATTACAAGTGATGGACGTTTTATCGTTGTAGCGGATTTTAATAACAGCAGAATTCAGATGTTTACAATGGATGGTAAACCTGAGTTGAAGTTTGGAGACTAAGGTTCAAACAGGCTAGATCATCCAAACGACTGCGCTTCGTACATGGACAAGTTCATTGTAACTGACAAGAATAATGATTGTGTAAAAGTGTTTGATAGGAAAGGAAAGTTTTTGCGAAAGTTTGGAGGAAACGGAAACGGTGATGGACAATTGAATCGGCCGTATGACTTTTGTCTGGACAAGTTTGGCAACGTGTTAGTATGTGACGCGTTGAATCATCGCATTCAACTGTTTACATTGGAAGGAACTTTCATTGGAAAGACAGCTACTGATCTAAATCTGGGATGGCCCTGGGGTGTTACCACAATGCCAGATGATCGGTTTTTGGTCACAGACTACAACAGGAAAGAAGTTTACATTCTGAAATAAATGCACATTTATCAAATTAACAACGAATTCTTCGTAAGCAAAACTGAAGAGAATTTCCTCAAGCGTTGTAAGTAAAGCTTTATTCACACAGTGTAACCCATTAAGCTCTAAGGCTGGTATCCATAGGGACCCTGTTTCTTAAAAATAATTTACATCAAGATTTTCAATGATATATTATATTATATATATTATATATATGACTAGAATTTTAAAACTACATTTACAGCCTAAGACTACAAAGCCAAAACACAATTAATACCTAAAATAGTAGATAAAATATCAAAGTTAAGATAAAAAGAAATGTCTTGCTCGGCGGCAGAACGTTTGAATGTTACTAATTTTAACTCATGTGTTGTAAAAAACTCGAAGAATCGACAGATTGCGTTAAATTCCAGAGGAAAGTCTAAATATTTCTGTCGATTCATTACTTAATGACAGAAATTAATCACAGAATCGAAGCCCTGAAATGGGCTATGATCTGTTCGGCCCTCTACACAGCCCAGCAATCAATTAGTCGTCATGTCTTGATTAATTCAAAAGAACATATTTTAAGCGCAGATTAATCGGATCGCTGGGCGTAAGAGAGTGACTGTACATGTCTGAATATTAATCAAACTTGAAATAAACATGAGATGTTACATACATCATACAGGTGAACAGACCTCAGAAGAAAAAAATTTCACTTTTTAAGAGATGAAACATGTCAACTGCTCTAAACCCTAGGAGTATTGTGATGGCAAAATAGGTATTTTTCCTGGAAAATAACTAAACGGTGGCGCTGATTAGTGTAAATTGTTGTAAATAGTTTTTACTAATCAACTTTACAGTTCTTTGAGCATGTTTAAGTAGAGCATATTTTGATAGTCCTTTTCTAAGTTTGACAACAGTCTGCTATTCGCTCGTTAGCTGGAGCATGTTTTTATATCAACACATTAAATTAAGACTTTGACAATTGTTAGCTCTATAAAAATGTAAACGCTTTGGCAACTGTGTAGTTCTAATTTGGTTGTGAAGGAATCACACTTAAAATGTGATCGTTAGAAATCGTCTTAAGACTGTCGAGTATTTGAATGGAAGAAGGTTACCTATGTAGCTTTTGTACACTAGTGTAAATTGTTTTTAAGTAATCAAGTTTTTCAACAATTATTTAAATCAGATATTTTCGTGGATTTTTTTTTGATATTTGATTACTGTGTCTAATCCTAATTCCATGAAACGAGAGAGAGTCTTATCTGAGCTCATTATAGACAACTTCACACATTTGATTATTATGAGTATTGTAGAATCCTTTAAGCCGAGTATTCGGTGAATTTAATCTAATGGTAATATGTTGAAGGTTATCCTTTCGATTTCGTTGTCATGAAAAAATGAGTTACTGTCTCTCCAAGAAGAATGCAATTAACTGTGAGAAAAAATTTTAAAGGAGCTTTTAGCCTTCCGCTGTTCTGCCCTGCATTGTAATAGCAGAGAGCATATTGTGTTTTGGCTGTCGGGTGAATTCACCACCTTTCGCTCCATGAAGAATGTCAAAGAAGCCTTTATTTTCTTTAAGTTTAAACCAGAGTTCTTAATGGTTAACATTGTTCGAGACTTTAAACTATTTCACATACCACTGGTTAGACCTCGTGTAAATAACGTCGGCCCATCGTGTCGTGTGTTTGTGTTAATTCATCACCATTTCCTACACGAAGGAGGATGTTGTTATTTTCTTTAAATCAGAGTTCTTAACGATCAACATTGTTCCAGACGTTAAACTATTTCCCGTTCCCCTGTTCTTCGTGTTTCTTCTCCGTTTACTGCTCCCATGTTCGAGTGTAGGAGATAAGATGGATCATGAACGTGGAAGGAAGAACAGTAGTTGATGCAATGAAGAGAAAATGAGTAGATTATCCTTTTGCTTACGTTTATAGCATGTTTTATTAGGTGACACAGAGTCGAGAACAACACATTCGTCACGCTCTAAAATCTGCATAATCACTCAGTGAGAGAGAAATCAGACAATAAAATGATAATTGTCAGAGCAAAGATCACGATCCTAAACATGTCTGACTCGTTGCTTTAAATAGAATGCTAATTCAATTTCACTTTCTCGGAATCACAAGCAATTTCCGAGTGTGTTTTAGTCGGCAATTCGCGTTTAAGTCGCGTCTGAAAAACCTCAAAAACATGTAACATGTTCGATTTGTCTGGATACTTACACCGAACCCAAGATTATTGCTTGTCTTCATACGTTTTGTTGTGAATGCCTGGAGAGACATGCACTAACGAGACAAAAACAAGGGCTTTATCCATGCCCTGAACGTCAGGCACAAATTCGTCTCCCCGAAGGAAATTTTTTCATAATCTGGCGATAATCTGCTCAACCCGAGCCGGTGAAAGAGAAGAAACAGGCACGCTAAGGTTTATTTGAAAAGTCGGAACTTAGGTTAGAAACGAACATTTCCACCGCTAAACGCCAATTTTCTCAAGCATTTGAATATAGATAATGGAAAAGCTTCGCCAATTGGAGCGTGAAGCCATTACTACCCTCGATAGGGTTCGCAAGTTGAGAATTGAGACATAGCGTTCTGGAAAAGCATCGGTAGTCTCTTTGGAAAAGCAACTTGACCAAGCATTTGAGTTCAGTAACAATCTGGTGGAGAAAAGCTCTAGCTCAGACATAAGGCAAGACAAGAAGAATGTGGAAGAACGAATCGAAGACCTCATCAAGACTACAGTGCCGGAACTTCCGGTTTACTTGTTTGTGGAGTTTATCGGCATGTGAACCAGATAGTTTGAGTTTGGGGAATTCGCGGAATTCAGCGAAACAGATGTGCAGGGATCGACAGTGGAATCATCCCTTCGGTTGCATTTGTCACGTGGACAAGTTTAATGTAACTGACAAGAATAATAACTCTGTGAAAGTGTTGGACAGTTGAATTTGCCTTATGGTTTATGTATTGACAAGTATTTCAATGTATTAGTATGTGATGTGTAGAATAATCGCATTCAACTGATTGCATTAAAAGGAACTTTTATTGGAAAGACAAGCACTAATGTTTACCTTCGAGAGCTGTGGAGTGTAATCACAATGCCAGATGATCGGATTTTGGTCACAGACTTCAGCGGGAAAAAGGTTTGCATTTTGAAATGAATGCCCATTTTTGAAAGTAACAATTAGTTCTTCGTAAATAAACCTGAGAATATCTTCAAGTTTTATTTACTTATCAATTTGCGGAAAATCATGTTATGTGTCGCAAGAGAACTCGAAAGAAAATGGTTAGAATCGGCAACTGCCTTAAATTTCTCACGGAGACTTAAAAAATTTCTTTTGATTCATCACTTCAGTGATCAGATTGTTTCTGCTGTAAATTGACCACGAAATCGAGGTGAGGAATAGCTGATGATCTGTCAGGTCGTCTTAACTTGTTAATGTATTATTTCAAAAGGATAAGTCAGCGTAGAAAAATCGTATCACAGGCCGTTAAGAAAGTCAATTTTTTAGGTCCAAATGAAGTGAAGTGCATTTTTGGAATTTTTGCGTGCAGGAGTTTTTTTTTCTTTTTTTGTAGAAAAGAATATCTTACTGAATGCGTTGTCAATAAATTGACTCTTTTGATTTGCAAAGTTACTTTATCATAATTGTAAATAAATTCGCTTTTTCGATGTACAAAAACTCTCCTTTGGATGAAGCAGGCTATTTAGGATTATCTTTTGACTTCGCTAGATTGCATCAGTTAGAAGCTAACATGTAGTATCAATTACACCATTGACACTGATTAGTGGATTATAAGTTCTTTATTTCCTCGGACTGCAGTCTTACTTGCGTCCTTTGAATGAGCACAATAAATTTAGCTTTCTCTCTCATCTGTGGGGGGGCCTAAGTCCGTGGTAGGGGTGAGGTAAAGGGGTGAGGTGGTTGGATGGAGGAATTCTGGGGGTTTATAATCCCATTTTATGACAAAAGATCTCTATACCATTTCAAAAGTTCGAGTGAGCCCCTTACCCCTGACTTGTTCCGTTTAAGAGACAAGCCTAACCAACCTATTTTCTCGCACATTTTCATTCTTCAGAGACAGAGCAAATTAGATGAAGTAACTGGGAGGACTGCGGAGGCTGATGGTTTGGGAGGCATCCCAGCTACACAGCCTCCCCTCACTACACCCCTGGAAAGAAGAGATATTCCTCCACAGCTGAGCATGACACTGGAGCACATTGTGGGCCAGCTGATGTGCTAACACACGTTTGTCGTAGGAACATTTCTGGATAGGGAATTACTTTTGAAACCAAGAGCCTTGGGAGAGGGGGTGAGGGGTGAGCACCTGTCAATGACCCCATCGCGCTGTCACGCATCGGGGAGAATACAAGGGAGTGGGGGGTTATGTTAGGGGGAAAGGGGCAAAATAGTGACCCAATAAAAATTAACACATACCATAACATGACTATGAATCAATATCCATTTTAAAACACCTATGATTGACTGAACAATGCACACAACTTAAAAAACGTTGACGCGGCTTAGTGTACTCAATTCTCGCCAGTTCCTTTTACCAATCTTTGAGAAGCATGGTATTTTATGGGGGTTGGGGAAGCAATATAGTCGCGCAGTCTCTCCCCTCCCTCTGAAAAAAAGGAATACCTGACCGTAGGTTGGAGCTCATTTCGGAATCAGCGGTTGGCTATCAAGCGGGGCATGGTCCAGTCGGGAAAGCGATCATGAACAGACCCGTATATTTTTTTTTTTTTGCAGAGGTACAAGGAAACCTTTCGTGCAACCTGGGGATGTATTAGCTTACGCTTAAAAGCCAAGTTGTTTTCCTTTTTTTAAGACATTTTTGGAGGGAGACATTGTCATATTTATTAGTCCATTTTTTTTGCAGACAGTTTCGATTTTGGAACAAAGGCTAACGATGACTGAGAATAAACTACGAGAATGCTTAGACAACGAACAGAAAAGAACTCTTCAAATCAGACCTAATGAGTAGCGAAACACAACGCCAATATCTAGCGACCCGGTCATTAGGCCATTAGACATGTTCAGAATTCTGTGAGGACTAGTCTTTGTGCGATGATGGTGTGAACTATTGAAGTAATTTTCAACTGAATGTCGAAAGTAGTCATGGACTACATTGGTTTAGTCTGTTATTGGTTTAGGAAGGTTACGCCGCCCTCTTGAACAATATTAGTGTTAACAAGACCAGCACTTTTTCCAGTGCATCAGACTTTGTGCCAGTTTTTGCGTTAGGTTCTCTTATGTTTCTTATGATATTTTCTTTTGTTTGAGTAGTTTCCAACTTTGTATCGAAAATGATCCTGCATTGCTTCGGTTCCGCCTTTCTTCGCTCTGTGATTGGTCCAGAAAACCCGCGCCACCATGTCAGCCAATCAAATGCAAAAACTAAAACCAATCACGACTTAGTCACTCTCGTTTTCCCGCGCTTCAAGCAGGATGCCTGTTTCTACTTTGAGTTCTCATTGGCAAATGATGATGATGATAATGGTAACTTTTTTCTCTTAGCAGTTGTGATCACGCTGTGAATTTGGTTTAAGGACACTTGGCCGAAATGCGTTCTATGAGAAAACAGTGTTTTATATCTGCGTGTACATATCGTTTAAAGTTACTAAGGCCGTGTCAGAACTGATAGTAGATTAATTAACTATTTCACCAACCTTTCTCCATATTTGTATCGGGAATTTGTTCTACATTTAGTCGGAAGTTGAAGCAGCTTTTCTGCGAGCTGACTTTGTCTGTTCTCCGCATTCGATGCTCTGAAAATGTGTTGTAAAACTGTCTTTGGTCTAAATGCATAATCAGTAATTATATAATAAACAGGTCATTACTTTCCCGCTAGTGGATACGACTTTATAATATCTCTCACAAGTGTAAAGACGGAACGAGTGAGAGATATTATCACTGACCAACACTCAAAGATAAGATTCGTATTTACCCGCGGTCAGGTGATTCTTTCTTACTATTGTCTAAAAGGTTTTGAGTAACCGGGCTGTGATACAAAGCAAGCGGCACTGAAATTTTGTTATTTCCACCAGTATCTTACGCTTCTGTGCTAAAAATTTGAGCCACAACCATTCGGAATAGCCTGCACCTTCTTTCAGAGTGCCGACTAGTGTAACAACCCTGTCGTCTAGATAGATAGAACCTCTTAACTACAATTACATTAGGTTTTACTTTTCACCTTAAGCTTTAAAACTGCGAACAATGATACTAAGGGGAATGAAGTGCGAATGAGTGATTTGTGTCACGCAAAAAACTGCACGGGCTGCGAGTAAAAAGCGAAGTGCCCCAAGATATAATGAGCTTTCAAATTCTAGGCCATTCACAGACCCCTTAGCTTATTTTTAAGCATCTACGAGTGCGAGGAAAGGAAAAAGCCGCAGGGTATTTGAAGAACACGAACCCTTTTGAAACAGCTACGGACAGAAGGGGAAATCACGCCAGCTTCTGACCCTCTGATAGGCTGTTACCGAACGCTTCAAAAGAGAAAAGCTTAGTTAAGAGGGCGACTCTTCCATCCTTTCAATAGCGTAACTGTTTTTACCCATTGTCCCCTACCCCCTCCCCCTTCCCCCGCTCCGTTTACATTTGTTGAACCGGAGGGCTGATGTTTGAAAATTGCATGGTTATAAGAATAAACTGTGTGGCACAGAAAAGTTGCAGCCGAGCCTTTTTCTTTCTTTTTTTACTTTAACGTACATTTATTTGACACTTTTACTGCAACAATAGCCCATTTCCAAATTGCCTTTAGCCTCTTTTTCAAAGCGAGTCCTGGTGCTCATCCTTTCGTATGGTAATAAGTTTTCATTCACATTCAAATTAAACTCATTTTCATTCGTATGGTTGAGCGCCAGGCCTCGTTTTGAAAAAGAGGCCAAACGTAATTCGGAAATGGCTTATTGGCTGTCTCTCTGGGCAACTGTGGCTGTCTTTTGGTTAGGGGAGGGATGAGTGCGCAGTTTCTCTAAGATTCATCGTTGTCCACGATCCATACCAAGTACGATACACAAACGAACTAAAATAGGTTATAATCTTTTAGAGAGCTAGTTTCCGTTCTTATAAAAAAGCAGGTTTTACCTTTTCGTCAATATCACAGATTTCCCTATCATGACAGCACAAGAAAACCAGATATTTGTTTATTGTTATACTCACGCGCTTCCTTAGAAAAACTGCGAAATATCGGACTTCAAAACTGAAGCTATTTCATACAGCTTGAGAGAAGACGAAATGTCTTCCGAAGAGAAGTGATTGGCTGCTTAAATTCGGATACTGATTATTTTTTTTCTAGCAGACAAGTTTTTCGGAATACCAGACTCACTATACGGCGGTAAATGTAGCGATGAGAAAATGAGGTGGTTGATCTGTTTCCAAACATTCGTAGCATGTTCTATCTGGTGACAGACTCGCGAACGGCGCATTAGATCACGCAATGAAATCTTTCTAATTACTCAGTGACAGAGAAAGAAGACAACGGGTGGATAAAGTTTTAACAGCTTTGCGTTGATGATTCATCACTCTATTGATTGATTTTTGTGTAAGTAATTCTTTGAATTCTTTCATAGCGTGACCGAATGCTTTACGCTCGTTACACGTTCTTTGAGGTTTTTTATAAGCCATTACATCACGAAATGGCGATTAAACCACACCCGCATTGTATTTGTGATTCCGAGAAAATGAACCTAGAGTAACATTCTATTTTGAGCAGCGAATCGGATCTCTCTAGGATCGTGTGATCTTCGCATGGAAGTTCACCGATTTGCATTAATCCCCACGCGAAGATCGCGTGATCCTAAAGTGATTTGATTCACTGCTTAGATAAAATACAAATTTAAATCTCTGTTCCTTGAAACAAACAATACGTGGAATGTGTGTTATTTTCTTCAGTTTCGTTATTGAGTCGCTTGGAGTCGTTCGTTATGGAGTCGCTTCTTAAAAACCTCAAAGAACATGTAACATGTTCAATTTGTTTGGATACGTACACTAAACCCAAGACCATTACTTGTCTTCATACATTCTGCTGTGAATGCCTGGAGAGACATGCACTAACGAGACAAAAACAAGGGCTTTATCCATGCCCCGAGTGTCAGGCACAAATTCGCATCCCTGATGGAAAGCGTTTTGATAATTTGCCAAGCAGCTTTCTGCACAACAGTTTATTGAGTCTTCTTGCCGTTCGACGCGGTGGCGAAGGAAATGAAATAAGCTGTAGTACATGCCAGAAGAAGAGCGCTGAGATTAACTACTGCTTTGAATGCGAGAAGTTCATGTGCCCTGACTGTATGAAAGCACACGAAGTGTTCCGAGATACTTTGTTTGAGGGACACAAAGTCACACCAGTACGACAGTTTGAAGCCACAGACTACGAGGCCTTGTTGAAACGGCAATCATTTTGCTCCGTTAAATATCACGAGAAAGAAGTAACAAAGTTTTTCTGTGTTGGCTGTCAAAGCTGTGTTTGTCAAGTTTGCATCGTCACAGATCACAAAAGCCATGACGCTGTTCCGCTTGAAAGGGCAGCGGATGATGAGAAAGCAAACATCATTATCCGAGCCGAGCTAGTTAAGCAGAAGAAAGAGGTCTGCCGAGATGTTATTCGTGAATTTGAGAAGACGGAACTTGAGTTGGAAGCGAACATTACCACCGCTGAATTCCAAGTTTCCCAAGTAGTCGAACAGATGATACGAAAGCTACGCCAATTGGAAAGTGAATTCATTAATGCCTTCGAGAAGTCTCGCGCGTCAAGGATTGAGAAATTACATTCTGGAAAAGCGTCGGTTTTCTCTTTGGAAAAGCAACTTGACCAAGCATTTGAGTTCAGTAACAACCTGGTTGAGAGAAGCTCGAGCTCAGACATAATGCAAAACAAGAAGAATGTGGAAGAACGAATCGAAGACCTCATCAAGACCACAATGCCAGCACTTCCGGTTAGCTCATTTGTGGAGTTTGTGTCTACATGTGAAGCAGAGAGTTTGAGTCTGGGATTTACGAAGTTCAGCGAAACAGATGTGCAAGGATCAACCGTGGAGGGACTGGATCAGAATTTCCAAGCTGGTGTAGAAGCAGAACTATTGATTTGTCCCAAATCAAGCGAAGGAGAAATTAGAAACACTCTGCACACAGATCGTGTTGAAGTACACATAGAACCTGCGGATTGGGTGAGTAATTTGGTGACGAGTGAAAAAGAAGACGATAGTTTTATAGTAAAATTTGTAGCGAAAGTACCAGGTACTTATGAAATGGCAGTTAAGATAAATGGACAGAAACTTGCCAAAAGTGAAATTTTGATTCCAGTTAAGGCGCGACAATTACACTTCGCAGGCAAGTTAGACTTTCAGGGAGCAGTGTCCCAGGGTCCAGCCGGGGTTGCAGTGAACAGTAAAGGTGTTATTGCTGTGGCTGGGTGTAAAGGTCACTGTATCCTGGTATTTGATGAGGCAGGAAATTTAAGACGAAAACTTGGTTGTCATGGAGACAAGGATGGGCAATTTAATCAACCAGTCGACGTCACATTCATAAACGATGACGAGGTTTTGGTGGCAGATTCAGGTAATCACCGAATACAGCAGTTGAATGTACAAACAGGGAAGTTTGTGAAAAGCTTTGGAAAAAAGGGAAGTGCAGACGTAGACTTAAAGAAACCTGCAAGTGTTTGTATTACAACTGATAAACGTTTTATCGTTGTCGCGGAGTTTCTTGGCAGAATTCAGGTGTTTACAATGGATGGTGAACCTGTGGCGAAGTTTGGAGACAGCGGCTCAGAGAGGCTCGATCATCCGTTGGGTTGCATTTGTTACGAAGACAAGTTCATTGTAACTGACAAAGATAATAACTGTGTGAAAGTATTTGATGGTAAAGGACAGTTTTTGTTCAAGTTTGGAGAATACGGAAATGGTGATGGACAGTTGGATTGGCCGTGTGGGTTAAGTGTTGACAAGCATGGCAACGTTTTCTTATGTGACAGGTTGAATAATCGCATTCAACAGTTTACATTGGAAGGAACTTTCATTGGAAAGACAAGTACTGATCTGGAACTACAAGAGCCCTGGGGTGTTACCACAATGTCAGATGATCGGATTGTGATTACAGCGTACGACGGGAAAGAAGTTATCATTCTAAAATGAATGCATATTTACGAAATTAACAATCAAACCCTCTTAAAAAAAACTTAAAAACTAAGATATTCTCATCGGTTTTGGTTTAAGAGGATTAACATTATTTTATTAAGTTACGGACATTCTTGACACACTTCATGTGAAGCAAAAGAATTTGAAAGAAAATGGCTAGAATCGGACTTGCTCTCAAAATTCCCGAAAAGAGTCCAAATATTTTCTTTGATTCAGGAGCAGAGTAGTGTGATTGGTTTCCGGTAAACTGACCAAAAAAAAATCGATCACAAAAGTCTCCCAGAGAATCTGTCCGGTCCCCTTCGTAGCTCTGCCTTCAGCTTGATAACAGGTGTTTACTCGTCGAAGAGCAGTTTGAATGCAAAAAGACATTCCCGAAAAAAAAAACCATTGTACACTAGCACCGATAAGTGTAAATTGTTGCTGATGTGAGGCCAACTTAAAACATGCATTTTTATCAGCACAAATGTATTTTAAGTAGCCGTTTGTTCTTGTTTGATAACAGTCATTCGCTCGCCCAACGAAGCGTATTTTTTATTTCGATTTTTCAAATATATACGTATAGACAATAGCTAATAGGAATGAAGCTAAAAACTGTGGAAATTGCCTAATACCTATGTACTTTTATCAGCATCGTAATTTCAAAAGAGATTGCCTGAATTTAAGGAGGGAAGTATTTAGACATAGTTTACTTAAAATTGATAGAAGCTTAGCCGAAAGACCTAAAAAAATTTATAGGTAGATAGGTAGCAGACAGAAAACATTTTCAATCAATTCACCAAGAAATTGAAAGGGATACGACAAAAACGTTTCCCCGTATGTATACCTTGGCTGTTAGGCATGAAAGAGTTTGAATAAGTTTTTGCGGCTTGGTACTGAATTTCAATTTTATTCAAATTTATTTTAGTGTATTTTTGGTATTTTTTGCAAGCAGGAGTTTCCATGACTAAGCTCCTTGAAATATCATGAAAATGCAAATTGATTAAATGAATTACTGATATTGTGGGATACTTTTCACTGTATAACTGTTCCGACACTTGGGAGGTTTGCTAAGCACTCAAGAAGCTAGAGTCCGCTCTCGGCTATCGCCTCGGGCGACTCTTCTCTTACGCTTCTTTCGTGCTTAGCAACCTCCCGCGTGCATCCATAATTATTAAAAACTGGATCATTAGATAATGTAATTCAAGACTTTTTATTGGCTTAGCCATTATGGTATATAAACCAATATACCATAATCTACAAATACGGTAAGCAGTACGCGCCAGCTTAAAATTAAAAGGGAGCTAAAAAATTTAAGATTTGGTAAGATTTGTCTAACATCTTATGGGCGTTTTTAATAAAACAATTATTCCACTCGCGCTTGTTGGATATGAGATGATTAATCATCTATTAATGATCTATCATCTCTTATTATCCAACTACACTTCGTAGAGTACAAATAACGCCACAGACGAGTACAAATATCACGCGGTATTCGTACTCTAGAGTACCGGTTAAACAGGTTTTCTCGCACCGCACAAGCGAAGAATTGAATTATAGTTACGAAAAAAAAATGGCAGACAATTTGAATCATATTTCTGACAACGAAGAGTCAGAATGACTGGCAAATATACATCCAAGTTTATTAGATGAATCGAATGAAGAGAAACAGCTAGACGACCTGGAATTTCTTTAGTTATTGAAGAAAAAAGAAACAGCAACACGACAACGCGCCAATTTCGTTCCGCTTCGAATACCTCTGTCACGCACTCCCCGTAAATAAATATCCGCGAAATTCGCCCGCACCGAAATAACAGTTTGACGTGTTGGACAATAAATAACTTATTAGACGTTTTGTTGTGTAGTATCGCTGAGTATTTTTACTCGTTATATGTATTTTGACCCGTCCTACGGGCTCCTTAAAATACGGCACAACTCGTAAAAATAATCAGCGATACTACACAACAAAACGTCTAATAAGACATATATAAATATATATCCGACGCGCGCTCGTGGAATAATTGTTAAATATAACTCAGTGTACGATGGTGTTTATCATTTGTTAATCCGAGCTTCTCCGACCTTGCCCGAATGATTTCCGAATTTCGTGTCGAAGTATTCTGTGTATTAAAATGGCCCCTTGCAGAGTTCTGCGAAAACTCTGCAAGAATCTTGAACTGTTATTAGAGGCTTTTGCACACTGAAATCAGAGTAGAAAATGCTCTGTTTGCAGAGGGTCGAAGGGAATCCTATGATCCATCTCTGCAACCGAAAAAAATTTTGCTAAAATGGACTGTCACTCGTCTCGGACGCAGTAGTGAACACTAGGGGTGGCGAATGGTAAATGCGAGACAATAGGGTCTAAAAGTACTTATGAGTGACCACGAGTGACCACGAATGACCACAAGTGACCACGAGTGACCACGAGTGACCACGAGTGACCACGAGTGACCACGAGTGACTACGAGTGCGATTAAATCATAATACAGTTGGACCCCAATAATTCAAACTCGGATAATTCGAAGTCCCCGCTAATTCGAAGTAATTCCTGTTCCCTTAGGTCGGATTTTACCCCGATAATTCGAAGTTAAGTTACCAGCTGAATGGAAAAGAACAGACGCTGTCGGAAATTAGATTATATATTCATGTAATAACAGTTTCGAACGTTTCGCAGCTCGTTAATCCCTTTATAATTGTGTAAAACAGTTCTCTGTGCATTAATCCCTTTACTGTATGTGCGGTGCTTTATAAAAGTTATTAACATGTCGATTTGATGAAAATCCATGTGCCTAAAGAGTTGACGAAAAATCCAATTTTAGTCTTTCAGCTTTGTGACTCTCTTTCAAGAATACAGACGTATTTCTTCTCTCCTTCAAACAAAAGTTTTCATAGCACTTGCGTCGCCAAGATTAACAGGCATGCCTGTCACATTAACAGTGCATGAATTTCTATTATCCGCTCTCAGAATTTAAAAGATTGTCTTAGCGAATCGTCCACTCTTTCCCTTCTTCAGATGCCCAACAATGGTCTCTTGATCTTGCATCACACAATATACGGCATATTTGACCACTGGATTATCGTGCTCTCTTCTGGTTGAAAGTTTTTCATTCACTGTTGGTTTCCAGATTTCCTGGTAGTCGTTATATCCCTTTATGTAGGAGTTAATCTGAAGCGAAGCAACATTCCTTGGGCAAACCATTATTTAAGCAGAGCTTGATTAAGTAAATTCAAAGCCGATATATAGCAGTTGAGTGCATGCGTCTAATGACAAGGACGCGATATGAGTAAACAATACACGCTAAATCACACTTTTAGCGGAAGTGGATCACTTTGTCGGTATCGTTTTTTCAATTTAGGCTTTTTACCGAGGTGTTAATTGGCATGTATTTCTGTGCTGTAGCTTGTGCGGTGATCAAACGGCTCTAGAAAATCGAACTCAGCTTCGGAAATTCACTAATATCGCGAAAATAGGGTAACTCAAGTTATGCAGAGGCAAAAATTACGTATTTATTTTTGACCCCTATAATTCGAACCTCCGATAATTCGAACTATTTTGCTTTTCCCTTGAGACTTCGAGTTATCGGGGTCCAACTGTATCTCAGTTTTCTTACTGTGACGTCATTACGGAATCATTTTCACTCAATTTCATGATGACTTACGAAAACTAAAGTTATCCACTGTATAAATGCATAGCAGATGATTTGAAAAACATATGAAAAACAGGTGCGATAATATTCAAAGACTTGCAGTGTGGACTATACATTACAGATTGCACAGTTACGATAGGTTGAGACTGAAAAACGATTTTAAGAATAATTAACAACTATTCACCGAAGTGGAGGTGGTTAGTGGTGGATATTTACCTCGCCGCTTCGCGGCTCGGTAAATATCCACCGCCAACCCCCGACACTGAGGTGAATAGTTGTTTTAGTATATACTAAAACAGTGAGATAATATACACCACCAAAAATTGATTTTAACTCATACATTCCAACATTTTCCCGCGCGGAAAGGACTGAAACAGCAAGCCGCTCGGATCGCGGTAAGTGATTTTTTGTTGTAAAAACTGCAGTCTCGTTTTCCCACTGACAGATAAAATTTCTGAAGACATTTGTTTAGCTCTGGTGGCGACATTTCTTCAAATGGTGTTGCATACTCTCTCTGTATCTGAAACCAATTCTGTTGAAGATATCATTCAACTTTGATTTTCAAGTGAACAAGTGAAGTTACGCAAGATTAATTTACATTTGTAAAGAAAAACATTTCTCATTGGTTTTTATCGATAAACTCCGGGTTAAAACTTAAACCATTACCTTTAAACACAGCTAAACCAAATTTAGTCGCTTTCTTCGTGTTTTCGGGGACTGCTTCGTCATTAATTTGAGTAATTTGTTCGCTTGTCACGGATGCAAACCGGGACGCCAATTTTTCCCGAGTTGCTCGGAGGTATATAGCAAAGGATATTTGGAGTTTGACTAGCCAATCATAGCGCGCCTTCAACCTTCAACACTGTCCACTGTTTTAGTATATACTAATCATAAATATCACATTACCATTTTATTTGGCTTTATTTTAACAACCCAATGACGTCAATGATCAACCCTTCACTTTGGAAAATTCCATTCAACTTTCAAATGTACTGCCAACGAGATGTCTGGACAAGTACTTCATCGGGTTTTACGTCGTAAACTCAGTACTCCTAGCGTCAAAGTAATAGCTATTTTCTTAGCTTATATATCGCTTGGGTTGTGAAAAATTCGTATGAATATATGTTTATCATGACAACTTTTTATTACACCTAACCTCTCCGTATGATTCCAAAAATAGTATACAACAATAACCGTGGGAACTAGGCAGCTAGACACGATGGGGGGCATTTTGGGCGTTTCCGCGCGCTTTAGAATGGGTTTGCGTGTTTCTTGTCAAGTTCGGTAATGGCTGACTTATTAAACAAGAAGCGTAAAGACTTCACGCGCTCTGAAGTTGTATTTTTGTTTATACGATCGAGCAGAGGAGGAGTAGATGAGCAGTGGCGGAACGTTGGTTGCGTTGTGTCCGAAAGGAAATATTCAAATCAAACGCTTAGCGTTTTTTCAAAAAGTTAAATAACACTGTGATATAATAAAATATACAGAGTGCTGTAGTTATGGTTTCT